CATTGGGGGGTTTGACTGTTAGAGGTGTGATGTTAGCCTAACAGTATTTTTATGGACCTATCGCTCCGTTGATGAGAGTCGATAAGTGGAAAGTGTTACGATCGGAGCAACTTTGAGGACCTATCGCTCTATTGACGAGATTCGATAAGTGGAAAGTGTTACGGGGCAACTTTGAGGACCTATCGCTCTATTGACGAGAGTCGATAAGTTGATTTTATCAGAGGTGTTTGATATTAACGTGACAAGAGAATGTTGCGATCGGAGCAACTTTGTGGACTTATCATCCTATTGGGGAGAGTCGATAAGTGGATTTTGTCAGAGGTATGATGTTAACATGACAGGAAGGTGTTGCGATTGGAGCAACTTTGTGGACTTATCATCTTATTAAAGAAGATTGATAAGTGGATTTTGTCAGAGGTGTGATATTAACGTGACAGGAAGATGTGTACTTATAATTTGAACAAGAATTTGAGGACTAGCGTCTCGCTGGGGAAACTTGCTAGGTGAGTTTATCATCAGAATTGATGAATTTTGATGCTTATGATTTGAACAAGATTTTGAAGACTTAGCGTCTTGCTGGGGAAGATTGCGATTTGAGCAATTTTGAGGACCTATCATCCTATTGGTAAGGATTGATAAGTTGATTTGTCAGAGGTGTATGTTGTTAACGTGACAAGTTGGGAGTGATGCAAGCTGCATTCATACTCCGTGGGGGTGATGATCGTCAGAAGTGTAATGTTAACTCGACGATGTGAAAGATTCGTTACTCTTAATCCTGTGGATTCCAAGTAACCAACCCCCAGTCTTGATTAAAACTTAGCAGGGGAATAAAAAGAGGTAGACAAAGCACATCACCTAGTGAGGCACTATCCATGAAGTCGGAATAGAGGCACATCCCTGGTAGGCCATTATCTGGTAAGTTTGACTATCAGAGGTAACTGTTAACGTGATAGTTTTGTGGACCTGCCATCCTACTTGAAGAGGATTGGTGGGGGAATTTGGAGGAAAAGGACTATCAGAGGTGACGGTTAACGTGATAGTTTTGGTGGACCCGTCATCCTACTTGAAGAGGATTGGTGGGGGAATTTGGAGGAAAAAGACTATCAGAGGTGGCGGTTAACGTGATAGTTTTGGTGGACCCGCCATCCTATTGATGAGGATTAGCAGATTGATGGACTATCAGAGGTAAATGTTAACGTGATAGGTTTGGTAGATTTTGTGGTTGACAGAGGTATTCTGTTGAACATGACAACTCAGAAAATTTGTTACTCGTAATTCAATGAACTACAAATAAACTAACCCCCAGTCTTGAGCAAGTGCAGAGGGAAAAAGGGTAGACATGGCACATCGCCTAACGGGCCACTATCTACTTAGGTTGACTATCAGAGGTAATTGTTAACGTGATAGTTGTTGGACCCATCATCCTATTGATGAGGAGGATTAGCTTCAGTGGCCGTAGTATCTTCCGGTTCTGACTGAGAAGAGTGAGCTTGGTCCGATTGCTCAGGTGAAGATTGGGCTTGGTCCGATTGCTCAGGAGAATCCTGCCTACTTTGTTCTTCAGCTTTGATCCTGGCAATAATCTTTTGAGCCTGTTCGCCTTGAGAGATTAGTTGTCTCCAAGAACGACATTCTGCAACTCCGATTCGGGCTAGGAGATCGGTTTGCAAATTGTGCCGACAGGTCTCCACTAGAGTAGACTGTGTCATACCCTGACGAACACCGGAGAGCCATGGTTCGGAACCTTTTGACGAAGGCTTTGACAGACTCCCTCTTCTTTTGCTTAGTGGCTAGAAGGGTATGGATGGAGACTTCCGTATCCTCTTCGAAGAATCTTGACAGGAAGAGTCTCTCTAGATCTGCCCACTTTTGGATACATCCGGCAGGCAATTTTCTGAACCATTCAAAGGCAACTCCCTTGAGGGTGCCAATGAATAATCGAGCCAGTATGGCGTCGTTTGATATCACATTTCCAGTCTGTGACTTGAAATGATAGATATGTTGGTTCGGTGATCCCGTGCCGTCAAAAGTTTGTAGCGTCGGGACTTCGAATTTTGGAGGATAAGGGGCTGCATCCCATTCGGCAGGATAGGGTCTGACAACTCCCTCGTCTTGGAGCTCGCTTCTGTTGGCCATGGCATTAAGGCGGGCTTCCAATTCTTCCATTTTGACAGACTGGGGATTCTGTTCGTTCTCAGTCTCTCTTCCTTCATCAGAGGAAGATTCCAGGTTGTGGGCTTCTTGGTCAGAAGCCGTGTCATCAACCACTTTTCCCTTCCCTTTGCTTGTGTGAGGTTGGGATGAAGACGTTTTTCCTCTCCGGGAGGATTCTTGCCTGGGTGGCGCATATGTCTTCTGAGATTTGGCCTTGTTTGCGACGATTTGAGTCAACAGGGCCATGAGTTCATTGATGGCCTCTTGCTGAGATTTGAGCATGGCGTCTTGCTCAGCAACCCTCTTTGAAAGATCTTCAGAATGTTCTGCCATGTGGGTGAAGCTCTCATGCCCAATGAAAGAGCTTGATGATTGAGACTCCGCAATGGCTGAGTGTTCATCATCGGAATTAGTTCCTGTGGCTAACCTCCGATAGTTGACAGGAGGAATGGCTCCTGTTCGCGTCCGAGTGCGTTGGTAGATTCCTTCAAACTCGTTAGCGATTTCTCTGACGGCCAGTGAGCGCCTTGTCTCAGAGTCATTGGAACTAGGACCTGAGGTTTTCCCTCTGCCGATCACATTGATAGTGACCTCGGGATATTCGGTCTCTGGAGACTTCTTCCTGTGAGAACGTCGTTGTTGGTTGGGCAAAGCAACATTCGTAAATTGGTCGAACACCAATAGTTTGGCCGCATATGAGCAACATTGACATCCCGAGAGGACCGTAGGAATCAGTCGTTCACATTGGAATGAACGAATGACTTGTTGCATCGGTCATATGAACTCTCTCAAGTCTGTTGTAAGGACTAGAGAATTACTCACTGATCGTGAGGTTTGAATTGGAACCCCCAGTCTATGATTGGACAGGACTGGCTCTTGGTGAACATAGATCTGGTTGAGATGCCTTGAATCCATGAACTTCTTATATCCGCCCCTCAATCTAGTTGCGCTACGCAGAGTATCCAGGTTTGGCTGGTGAAACGCAGTCTTGAAGTCTGCATTTTGGTTCTGAAACGCATATTTGAGAGTTGCGTTCATTTTGTGGAACGCACCCCTGAGGGTTGCGTTCATTTTGTGGAACGCGCCCCTGAGGGTTGCGCTCAGTCTTCTTCACACAGAGCCTATGTTTGGGCTCATAGACACGAGACTTGCATTCTGAAACAGAAACACAGGGCATAGGGTCGCGTTTAGGCTCACAAACACGAAGCTCATGTTGACTTGAGGATCGGCATTCTCGGAGATGAAGGACCTCCTCCTCCGTCGAGCGACGTTCTTCTTAGCCTGCTTCAAGGCCTTTGTCGCCTCCATGGGCATCTTTCGACCCGATACCCGTCGTCTTGACGCGGGTTTGGCTGAAGCTGAGCCCACTCCATCGGAGGAGGGGTTGTCCAAGCAGTCTTCCTTAGGCGGTTCGGCTGCAATTGGAGCAGTTGGAGCTTTAGTCTCTTTGGAGACTTTGTGGATCTTGCGCATAGCCTTAGGGCTAAGGGATCCGGAGGAGATAGCCTCCTTAAACTTGGCTTGATCAAACTCGATCAAACTCTACCACGAAAGTTTTGACGGTTGTTCCAGTGAGATGAACATCGAATTGCGCCACCACTTCTTCGTCACAGAAGCTTGTCCCCAGCGGAGTCGCCATCTTTTGTTTGATGGAAATTTTGTAACAAGAAAATAAGAAAAGAATTGTACTTGATTTTATTCTCTCTAACTGTTTAGAAAAAGAATGATTACAAGTGGTCTTCTCCTCACGATTTGACGTTGTGGAGAACTCTGAACGAGTTTAAAACTCTATGAAAGAGTTGATTTAACCGAAAGTCGGTTATAAGCCAAGGATGAAGAAGATCTTGTTGCCGATCTCCAAAGCTCCAACCGAAGGATGAAGGATTCTCTTTTCGCTGCCAAGAATTTCCAATAGACTGACCCGAAAGATCCAGCCCCGATCTGATTATCAAAAATCCGATCTTTAACTCTGTTGAGTTTGTTGTTATTTATAGGGGATTAAGGGGTGTAACCACCTCCTTAATTCGCTCCTAAGTGGGGCTAATGGGATGTAACCGTCCCTTAAATCACTCCTGAGTGGAGTTGTGATCCCCTCAGATCGTGAGAAATGGTTTTGAAACCGTTCAGCTCGTGTTTGAACGAGTCAAACGCAGGCCCGCGTTCTGGTATGAATTTTGTCTCCAAACGCAATGCCTAAAAGCTTGAACGCAGCATCTGGAAGCTCGGACGCAGCGTTGTGAAGTTGCGTTGTGCAGTGATTTGGAGCTGCGTTCTACGGCTGATTGGAGCTGCGTTTGAGCGACTGTTTGAACTGCGTCTGACAACGATTGGAGTTGCGTCTGATAGCGGATTGGAGCTGCGTCTGGCAGCGGATTGGAGCTGCGTTCAGCTGCTGATTTGAGTTGCGTTCAGCGGTTGATTTGAGCTGCGTTCAGCGGTTGAAGCTGCGTTCAGCTGTTGATTTGAGCTGCGTTCGTGGCTATGAACATGGTGCGTCTTGATGCTGGTTCGCGGGGAGGACTTCCACGTCTTGGTTTGAAGAGACCGTCGATTTGTAGTCTCTTTCTGTCGAAGTTTTGCAAAGATTATTATTTTGTAATCTTTACTTTAGCTCTTTGATATGCAAGAGTCGTCAGATTGTAACTCTCGATGTTGGTTATGAAGGCTGTTTGATTAGAGCTTCCATCAGTTGTCGTGAAGGTCGTCAGATTGTAACCTTCAGCGATCTACGTGAAAGTCTTCAAATTGTAGCCTTCTGGAAGTCGTCAGATTGTAACTTCCATCATCGGTGTTTTTATGGGGATCAGCTATCTATTGTGATTTTTAGACAGCCTACAAAACCAAACCTTCATTTCTAGCAACCCACAAGATTTAAGTCCATCTCTCTCATGAATAGAACTCGAAGCTTGAGAATATATCTATTTGCCCCTCTACACCTACGTGAGAATCTTCGACCACCCCCATCCAGGACCTCAAAGATGCTAACGATCGCGTGAATTGCATAACTCTGATGTAATTTTTTAGAAGCAAAGTAAGCATAGAATGCATGTGATTTTTTTTTATGAATTTATGTTTACATTTAATTTGGTCTCTCTAATTCACAAAATAAGAATATGAATGCAGTTGTCATGTATTGTCAGATATGAATGCATTGCATATGTCCACAAGAAAAATGCTATAATGACCCAAAATATGGGACCAAGAGAGGGGACGAGTGAGATGTCCCCCTCCTATTGCATAATAAGCTGGTCATACCAGCTCATTATGCAATAGGGAGGGGACACCTCATCTATCCCCTCCAATGGTCCAATATTTTGGGTCCATGTTGCAGCGCTCTATGCACAATTAGTTCACTCATGCTTTTCAACTGTCATTTTGAGAAATTTTGCTATATCTTCTTCAAATATGAATGTCCGTGCAAGTTTGGTTTGTGTATTGTACTCGGTATTGAAGTTAATATGGTACATATGTTAGGTTAGAAGTTTTTTTTTATTTGGGAATGTAAGTCCACCAGATTCTCGTTTTAATAGACTCTAGAAAATAAGTTTTCCTAAATATCCATTAAGTTTTCAAATTCTCCTAAATACGTTGTTACTTCTATGCAATTATTGTTGATTAGTTCAAACTAAGAAAAAAAGTGAACATAATTGGCAAGGAGGAATGAATATGAGTTCTTGAAGAAATATACGAGAAATAAAATTTTCAATGCGGGTACACCCCTCCAAATTTGCATGCCACTTATAGTATTAGCTCAAACAATTATTTTATTTAATTCATCAAGTATATCTTTCTCATCCCTTCATTCTTTAATATTTTATTTTTTAAATATATATCATCCAAAAGTAGTATTTTGCTTAAATTGTTAAAGTTATCACACATTTTGTATCATTTTTATAAATAAAAAGTTATAGATTTCCAGGCAAAAGAAAATACCTAGCGTGATTGAAATAATCAAATATAAAAAAAATTCACTAAGCCATATTTCCATTTGAAATAGGTTAAAACTTGAATTTTGATAATTTTTTAATTTATCGAAAGGTTTGTGTGATCTTTTAGTTTCAAAAAACCATGCAATGACGTCTTCCTATCCTTTAATACTTAACATGACACCATTTGAGTTAAAAAAGACGACAATTATGACTATGCGCAGTGCATGTACACCACACTAGTTTCTTTAAATGTGCGTTTAATCCTTCAATATTTAGCATCCTTCCCCGTCACACCTCAGCCCCTCATTACCAATTTCGCATATCAAAATATTATTTGGTGAATGCTACAACAATACCAAAAGATGCAAGAAGCAAGCATTTTCTTCTTGCTTTATTTTTTTTGGTCTCTTCCTTTCAAATTTTGTAAGACGAAGAATAATCATTTCTTTCTCATACAAGGAAAGGGAAGTATTATTGGAAATACTTTGGATATTTAATCCTATCTTCCATATCATCTCAAATTCTTTTTTGCTAAGTTGGGATTTGGAACATTACGAACTTCCTCTCTGATGTGGGCTCTCTCTCCTCCAGAACCTTTCCATTCTTATCACATGGCCCGTTTCCAATTTTATGTGCACTTTTATTATTATTATTAATAAAAGCACTAATTAAAGAGATTGTTTCAACATTCCCAAACTGCATGCACACAATTCTAACTTTTTTTATTGAGGGGGGGAAAAAAAGGAGAAAAGGTGTTTAGTTTTGGTGTTGGGAGAACCTTCCCTTAATTGAAATAATCACAATTAAGCTTGCCATTATTGGTGATATTCTCAAAAAGGGTATGGAGCATAAAGGGATTCCACCACTCACAAGATAGTGGACCTTAACAAAGTGATCATGAGATATCTTCTCATTGTAAAAAAGAGATCCTATGACTCTTAATGAGGCATTAAAAGGGCTAACACTGTTGCCAAAAGTATCTTACTTAAAGTACATTCTCGGTAAACACTACAGCTTATTAATATGCAAAGTTGATTGGTGATATCATCGGATCAATGACACATAAGCCACCCTACTTGCTTTCATGTCAGTAGTTAATGATGCAACTTTTCTCCATGTTTTGGTCAACACTCGCAAAAGTTGTATGAAAAATTCCTCAAGGACCCAAAATATAGGATCAATAGAGGGGACAAGTGAGGTGTCTCTCTCCTATCGGATAATGAGTTGGCCATCATTAATGATGACCAACTCATTATCCGATAGGAGGGAGACACCTCACTTATCCCCTCTATTGATCTTTGGGTCCCTGTAGCAAAGCTCAAGTTGTATATATCCACATTTATTTTATGACACGGTATAAAAGTATCATTTTATTTATAAATGATTAAACAATGGTGACACAAATAAAAAGCGTAGTAAATCATGACGCATATTTGTGTCATTAGATGTACAATTAAATATAATTGAAAAAGACTAATAGTCCAATGTGGATTGTGAGCGGGTCTATTAATATACTTAAATAATGAATCTTAGATTTTAATTATAATGATGATTAAACATTTATGATAGTGTATGAACTAAAAAAACTTCATAATTAAAGTTAAGTGTGCTTTAGTGAGAGTAATCCTAGGGTGGGCGACCTTATGGAAAAATAGTGTTGAATGATGATACTCTTTATATTTATATGGTCTTGACACATATCTGTGTCACCACTCTTGACACATGTGTCATGTGTTTTATGACACGTGTATGTGTCACCACTCTCGACATATATATGCGTCGTGAGATTTGTGATACATTCTCACATGTGTAGAAACACACTCTCCACGCATGCTCTAACCACACCTTTGATATGTGTCGTTCTCTATTTGTGCGAACAAAAATGTGTTGCCTAGAGACAAAAAATGTATCATAATTTACTACTTTTGTTGTAGTAACTATAGTGTTTCAGTAAAGTTGATTGATAATGTCACAAGTCAATGGCACATTGATTAGTTTTTCGTCTCCAAGATTGATAAACAGTACTACTATGTATCTGGTAAAGTTGATTGGTGATATCATACAGTGATGGCATGTGAACCAGTCTTTCTTCTTGTATGTCTATCATCGGTGCAACTTTTTCTCCATAATTGGTAAATATTGAGTGTACTCAGTAAAACTAACTAACTGGTGATTTCATGCATGTGTCAATGACTTATTAATCGCTCCTTTGTGCTTATTAAGCAGAGATGCAGCTTTTCTTCAAGATTGCTAAACACTAATTAAGTGTACCTTTTTTTTTTGTTGGATAAACGTATATTTAGTAAAGTTGATTGGCGAAATCATGAACCAGCGTTTACATATTGGCAAATGATTTTTATTTGTTGGCATCCATTCCTAGTTCTCCACTTATCATTTATAAATAATTTTGAGCTTTGGTTGACCAATGAGAGTCTCCAAGGGATGTAAGGGGCACAAGCACGTATGTTAATACTTTTTATTACTGTTTTCCTATTTTAAAAACCCTGTTCCTATTCAGTTAAAAAAAAAACCTGTCCTTATTGCATCAGCGCCTCTATCAAGCAAACAACAAAAATTCATTTTTTTTATTTTTATTTTTATTTTTTATTTTTTTTGTTGATGTGAAATATTATTCGGATTCACCTTAATTGTTTAGGTGTCTGATTTGCTTATAAAAGACAAAATCCATGTTATTTTTCAGTCTCAGCTGAGTTCTAATTAATGTCAAACTTTTTCTGATACGGAAGTTATGCTACAGTTTCAGTTGTCCCGTCATCGCTCGTGTGTACGTTACAACTTATTCCAATTCTAATGAAAAATTAAAACTTTAGGCCAAGTGTTAAAAAGAAGGATTAATATATTTAGTCCATTTGATAATTTGAATGACTAAATTATTAACCTGTTAAATAAGTTTTATTTTAGCTATTGTGATCAGTTTTAGTGTTTGAGGATAACAATGATTTTAATTATTTTTTTTATAATTAGATGGTTTAACTCTTAATCCTTCTAAATAGGAGTATTAGTAAACATTTTGAGGGGTTAACTCATTTTAATCCCTTTCTATATTTTTTATGTTTGACAAATTATGAAAGGTTAACTCACTTTAATTCTTGTATAGATTTTTTGTGTTTGGCGGGTTAAGAAGGGGTTAAGTCTCCTTAACCCCCCACTTAACCCTTTTCCAAACGATACATTAGTGTTAGCGTACCTTAAACACTCTTACCAACTTAAGCTATATCATGTTGTACGCAGCGGAATCGAAGGACACGAACAAGATAGGAGAACAAATCAACAACCAAACACAAGCACCACACAGCAAGACACTAACTTTTACGTGGTTCGACAATGTGCCTACGTCCATGGGGCAATGAGGGGGAGGATTTCACTAATAGAGAGAGAGAGAGTACAAATAGGGTTTATAATCACTCAATAATCTCACAAAATAACCCTCAAACAAAACTCTCAAATTCCTCACAAATTCTCCCTTTCTAAGTGCTTAAACAATGCTCAAATCTCAGCTATTAATCTCTTACATAACCCTAGAAAACGTCATGTTCCTATTTATATCAAATAAGAATCCAAAACCAACTGGGAAAAACCGACCAGGCTCATAACCGTGATCTGGTCGACCGAGACTATGCCCGTGGTCGACCGACCAGAGGGTCAATTTTTGACCCTATAAATTCCACAACATTCGGTCAACCGCATAGGTTTGGCCGGTCGACCGACCCAAACAGTGTTTTCTGAACACCGTAATGTGCACGGATTCGGTCGTCTGGACTCAAGCTCACAGTCGACCGACCTACAACCAAAAACACAGTCTTCGTTTTTTCTGATCCTCGTCATCGTTTCTTCAATTCTCCACCTCGGTGAAGTTTTTTCCAAAAAATTAAGCCGACCTCAATACCAACCATCACACTCGTTGCGTCTGGTACGAAGTGGAATCAATCCACGACAAAGGACTTAATCCACAACAAATCGGGAACCAAAATGAGAATGCAAATAATCTCCACCATTTCGGTATGAACTCATCAAACTGACTGTATCAAACTGTCTACCTACATATCCTCTTGCCCAAGAAAGCAAGCCTCACATAGTTCACCCAAATGGCCTCCAAAGGCCCCCAAC